CATTGCCTCTGTCAATACAGTAAGAAGTGATCCTTGTTCCTTGGAAAAGTCTTCCCAACTGTCTCCATTTTACCGGTAGATTCTTCGTGGCTCACGTAGAACAACACCACCCTCCTCCATAGCTTTCTCAAATTCCTGAATCTTGTTTAAAAGACAGACACAAATAAATATTAAAAAAAAACAGCAGGACTTAAATATCAGTGGGAACATGTTATATGAGGGGCAGAGGTTAACAGCCTCATGGAAGCCTAATACCAGGAAATTCAGCTTGTCAAAGCCCTTCTGAGTGTTGCAAGGGATTGTCAAGCCACATAACAAAATTAAAGGTGAAGAGAAGTAAAATTAATGCCTAAAAAGGAAAGAAGGGCCAAGGGAATAAGTAGATGGGTACTTGCCGAGTCACAATGGCGTTCCCAGGGGATAATGGCTTTAAAGTTCACAAAGTTGATTCCTGCTTCCAAACAGCGCTGTGACATTACACGGCCAAGGTTTTTGCATGCAGCTACTCCCTTGGGACTGTACAAGTGTCTCTTTATGGCCCACTCTCGGGTAGAGGCAGATACCACAACATCCCCGTTGGAGCGCTCAACAAAGGCTTCCACGTAATGCTGTGTCCGCTCAAGCCGTAATCTGAGTGCAGGAAAGAAATAACACAAGATTATAATGTCTTTTCCAGAGAACAGAGTCAAATGCTTAAATTAGTCTCTTTATGAAATAGAATTCAATGTTATTAATATATTACATTCTATTACAGTTTTGCTAATTAAGACACAAAATGGGACTCATGTTGGGAGGAAAAGGTTAAAAGCAGAAAAACAGTGAGGAGGAGTGACCTTGCAGCTGGGAATGCCAAGTCCTGGAGAATAACATTGTGGGAAACCCCACATATTATGCCTACAGTTGTTTATCCTCTGACTGTTTTGAGAAATAGAATCTCTGCATAGAGATAACATAGGTGTTTGAAGAGCCTTGGAGACACTGTCATGGACATGCTTGAGCTCCCTATTTTGAAAGAAGATCAAAGGTCAGAGATCATAAAAAGCACAGGGGAGACCATAGCATGATGGTAAACCTACACACCCCTAATAAATGGGTGCCAACAGCAGGCTCACCACCTGCACAGACTAGGCCTAACAATGCCTGGATTCTCACCTATGTCTCCACCTGGGTGTTGCTTTAGGATCCTTCAGTTAGCAAGGTAATGAAATTAAGTGTACTGTTTGCATTTCAGCCATAGTTTTGTGGTCACTCCAACTGCCTGTGTCAACTCACACAACTCCTATTGCTAGCTCAGAAGAGTGAAATTCCAAGAACAACTTCTCATCAGTTACTCAGGACCACAGTCCTACACTGCCTTGGACCAGCACCCACTCCAAACCAAGCACTGTACACCTGCACAGTGCAGAACAGATATATATGAGGGGAACTGCTCCATTAGAAATGGAATTTTAGGATCACTATGCAGTCCCTTAAAAGCTTGAGCTGACACAGTAAGTGTTGAGATCTCACAGCAACTTGTTGAGATCTGCAAGTGGTCAGAAAGTACCTCATAAGCCTCCACACATAACAGTAGAATATTTATTCGCAACTATTTCTAATTGCACTGAGATAGTATTGGCTTTCCTGGTATGAAAAAACTGGATGGGGCTCTCCCCGCAAGAACAAAATAAAGACTTTAAAATGCTAGCTTAAAATGAACTTATTTTCCAGAGAACAAATAAATTAAAACAAAACAAAACCCACAAACATAAAACAATCCCAAACAGACTATTATGGTGCCTCAAATAAAACCATGAATCATGGTAAGCACAGGAGTGAGAGAATCCTGAGTTAAAAAGCTGTTGCTGAAGCAACATTACTGTTGCCTTAACAATATATGGAAAAATCTTGATCACATATGCTTTCACATGCTACTAGTCCACTCTTCCCTGAACACAGAAGATGCCTGCTGATTAAGAAATACTAATGTGCTAACTGATTCAGAAACCCAAAATACACATTTTGTATGTGGGTTTCTGGGGTTTTTTTTGTTGTTTGTGGGGTTTTTTGGGTTTTTTGTTTTTGTTTTTTTTTCTTCTGGAGTCTTAATTTCTGGCAGTAACTTCTTGCTTCTTGACTCACCTATGCCAGAACTCACGCTTTGGCCACGTTGTCTTCCAGCCACGCTCCTTCCTAGCAAGGGCCATCTGCTCCAAGTTCCGAGGATTTCTGTTAGTGAAATTTGGGGCAACAACCTCATTTTCACTTGTGTCCACTTCAGTCTCAGTTTTGAGACTGGCTGTAGTTGATGCAAAACGAAGACCTTTGAGGGGAGAGCAGATAAAAAACCACCACAGATTAAAAAAAATACGTAGTGCAGACAGGATAATGGATACAGTACAGAATAACACAGCTTACAGAAGTCTTGCATTTATTTTTTAAGCACTTAACTGATGAATGACGTCAACCTGCATCTATAATTTATGAGGTGAACTGCAAGTATACTAGGGTTTCTAAACTCTATATTAAAATATTAGCTCACGCGTGACTAGGAGATCCCTAAGTCCAAAGCTTTACAAAACACTGAAAGCGAAGTACACAAGAAACCAGAGACAGCGCTACCAAATAACAAGGTATAAACCCTTCATCCGTGGCGCAGCAGCACCGCCAAGACACCGGGCCGCCGGATGGCCCCGGCAGCGCGGGGGCCGCGGAGCCGCCGCCGGGAAAGGCCGGCACGGCGAGCCCCGGGCTTACCCGCTGCACGGAGCCCGCCGGCCGCCCGCAGCAGGCGGCTGCTCAGCGCCATGGGGACCCGGAGCCGCCACGGCCGCCGCTCAGGGACACCCGGGCGCCGCCATGCGCGGGGCGGCGCTTCCCGCGGAAGCGGCCGCGGGAATTCCGCCCGCCGCCGGCGCGCTCCGGCGGGAGCGGAGCCGTGCCCCTGGGCTACGCGCGTCTCGCAAAACAGAGCAAAAAACACTGCCCCCACTCGGGGGATCATGTTTTAACTTTTCCCCGTGGAAAAAGGGCTTTAGGAAATGCCGGCCTCCAGACACTGGGTCGGCTTTTCCTGGAACGGATGTAAGGAAGAGGGACCAAGGCGCGGAAAGGGAAGGGGAGTGGATAAGAGCAATAAAAGGTGGTTCGGGAGCTACTGTCATCCTGTGTTAGGCTTCTTTCCGACCTCTCCTGCAGCACACAGGTACAGCAGAGCTCTGCCTTCTCAAAGCATCCTCCTGCAAGCATGACCGTGCAGGAACATTACTTAGGAGATGTATTTAATTGCTGTAGTCCTGAAAATGCTTTTAATGAGCCATCTAAGAGAAAATGGTGTTGAAAGGAGGATGAAGGCCTGATGAGACCCTGGCACCACCTGCCAGGGGAACTCTGGACACTGCCAAGGAGCCAGGCAGTTTAGGTCGCTCCTGGCCACACAAGGTATTTGTTTGTCAAAATACAAGAAGTCTTTTTACATCATGCCTTACGAGTCATTACATACTCATCCTGAGTCTTGCAGGTTCTCCATCTCCCTATCACTCTCTGAGGTTTACCCTCAGACTGTAGCAAGTTTTTCCCTTATCCTACAACCATCTCTACTTAACCCGGCCATTGAAAAGGGGTTGGATAACGGGAACAGTCAGCTCAGAGACCTTCAAACAAGGCAATGGTGCCATTATCTAGTGGAATCACATTCATGACAGGGCAAATCTCATTAAACGTGTTTTGCCGGAAGTATTAGCTTGAATCACATTTTCTCCAGTGTGAAAAATGCATATTTTATGATTGGCTTTTTACAAATATTACAGTGAATATTATATGTGTAATGTTAGAAAGTTATGCTGTATTAATTCTTTTAAGTATTGTGTTAAAAATAGTTTTAAGTTCCAACATAATGTTAAAATAGAGACTATGTATGTGGGGGGAGTTGTTTTTTTTTTTTAGGAATGAGATACTCGCTTCCAGGAATACCTAAATCTTCCAAAGAAAAGGAATTTATGGTTTTCTTATCAGAAGAAACGAATTTCTTCAGGCCTTGCTCAGACTCTAAGACACCTTGGGGATTAAAGGAAACAGTTGACATACAAGAGAGAGTTCTTTTTTTAAATAGAATGTATGCATAAGATATATGCATGTATATATGAATGTATGAAAGATATATGAATATGCAACAGGCTATTGCTTTTAAGGTTATTCCTTTGTTCACAAGGTATACTTTTTGTGACTTAGTATCCAAGAGCATCTGGACATCCATAATTCTTTGCTTTTTATTGTCTTGTAATTGTCCAAACTATAAACTTTATTACTCTAATTGCACTACTATTTTTATAACCATTTTATTATTATTTAACTTTTAAAATTTTAAAAACCAAGTGATTGGCGTTTTTCACGTCCAGGAAGCAGGTCTTCAGCTTCTTCCTTTTTTACCATCTCAGAACCCTAGATTTGTCTCGGGTCTCTTTGCAGCCTTCCCCCAGGGATCGGGTACAATCCCGAGCAATGGGTAACGTGTTTGAGAAGCACAGTTACGACCACGCATGCCGAGGTCCCCACTTGAGGAAGGCGGGTCTTTCCCAGCGCCGGGCAGCGGGCGCCATTCCGCGCCCCCGCCTTGCCCCGCGGCACTCCCCGCGCCTGCGCGCCCCGGCCCGCGACACCTTCTAGAAGCCCGTGGAAGAGCCCCGCTGGCCCCGCCCCGTCTCGCGGCTCCTTTGTTCAGCTGCGCCCGCCAATCGCGGCCCGAGGCCGGGCGGTGCCGCGCCCCGGGATTGGGCAGGCTCGGGAGGCGGCCCCGCCCCCGCGGGGCGTGCCCCGCCCCGCCGCCCCCGCGCGCCGCGGGGCGCGTTCCCAGCGTGCCTCGCGCCGCCCCGGCCATCCCGCCTCTCGGCGCGCTCCCGTCCCTTCCCTGTGCGTGTGGCGCCGCGCCCGGGCGGGGAGATGTCCGCCATGGAGGGGCCCCTGGCCGTGTTCGGCGAGCGGACCAGCGGTGACACGGTCCGCACGCAAAACGGTAACGGCGGCGCGCCCCGCCGGGGGAGCGGCGGGAGAAGGGAGGGGCGGCGGGGAGCGAACATGGCGCGGCCGTGGTCACCTCTGCCATGTGCTCACCCGCCCCGGGCTGCCCGGGGACCGCCGCTCCTCTGGACAGATTCCTTCCGTCCTGGGCCGCTGCTGGCTGCAGGGAGGGAACAAAGGAGGGATGGCGGGAGGGAGGGAGGCAGGCGGAAGAGGAGCACACGCCATCCCATTCCATGAGTCTGAGTGGCGGCGCGGTCCCGCCTCCCCCGCCCTCCGTCCCTTGGGAGCAGCGAGCACCGGGCCAGGGCGGCTGCGGCTGCTGCTCGGAGCTCGCTCTGCCCCGTCCCGACCGCGTGGCGCCAGAGCCTGCGGGCCTGCAGGGGATGCTGCTGGGGGAGGTCCCCGCTGCCCAGCAAAGTGGGGACCAGCCTCCAAATGCGTGTCTCGAACTGTGGTTCTGAAACGTCTTACTCATTGCTCAGGATTGTACCCCCAGTCCTGGGAGAAGGCTGCAAATTCTGAGACCGATCTCAGATTCTGAGTAGACAAAAGACAAAGGAAGAAGCCAAAACATGCTTCCCAATGAAACTGAGATTATTTTCTGTAGCTCTAATGGTACTTCAGGCAACTACTTAAAATTGAGCCTTGCCTTAATTCACGAGTGAGATTCCACGTGATAATGGCACCTTTGGTACAACCTTATTTCGCCCAGAAAGCTGCCGTTAATCCTCCTAAGCAGAAGAAATTGTTGTGTTGTTTGACGGTCTCTGAGTTACAACTGTTCCCATTTAACTACCACTTTTTCAATTTCTAGATTAAGTGGCTATGCTTGTGGGATAGAGAAAAACTTGCCATGGTCTGAAGGAAAAGGTTGATTGTATCTTTTTCCTATATGAAAATGGCAGAACAACCTTTAAATGAGCCAGTGTTTTAGAGGCTTTGTGTTGTTTTAGTAGTGACTCAAAAGTCATTTTTAGGTGACTTAGTCGCAGAAATAAATGTTTTGTTTTATTGACAGGCCTGATAAGGACCAAAAGATGTTTTATTAATGGATGCGTGGTGATGCCGATGTCCTCTGTCTGCCCAGAGCTGAGAACTAAATGAGAGTGAAATCTTGTGGCACTGCTTGCTGCAGTTAAAAGCAGCAGTGCTACCAACCCTCTTAATGTTAACACCACTGCAGTTCTGACCTCAGTCCTGTCCTCCATCTTCCACGGACAGCAGAGAAAGCATTCTTTTTCGGGTCAGTCAGTTTTGCCAGGTTAGCTAGCTAAACCAGATAGGAAGAAAGAGTGAGGTTTGGTGCAGATTGTATTTTTTTAGAGCAGCAAGCCTAGCAAAGTGAGGTAAAGCTTTAGGTTAGATAGGCTGAAATGTAATACTAGGTTAGATCACTTGTTGTCAAATTCCTGAGAATGATACTAAAGCTGGGAGGATAAAACTTTTTTTTTTTACTCCTTTCATTTATTCAGTTACTGCTGCATCTGCTATTGCCAATATTGTGAAGAGCTCTCTTGGGCCAGTTGGTCTGGATAAGATGTTGGTGGATGATATTGGGGTAAGTAATGTTACTTTAAGAAGTGTCAGGAGGACTTGTATTCCTATGTAAAAGTGCTTCCATTTAGTGTGCTTCGTAGGCCTAATGTGCATATGCCTGTTTTATCCTGAGAGGGATAGGAGAACTGAAGTAAAATTGAGTATTGTGTAATGTATGTTACATTGTTGTAGTTTCATCTATTGTGGTGGTAATATATGTGTTACAGTTATTTAATTTCTGTAGGTAAGTCCTTGTAACCACTTAAAACATGGGTCAGATTGCAAGAGGCGAGTTTTACCATTTAAGTCAGGTTTAACGAGTGCTGACTTATATATCCCAGTCTCCAAGTCAGGAGAAATAACAAAAAAAAAATCATAACAAAATTTTAAGCAGTACTTTGTATTTTAAAATATTTAAAGCAATTGAAGAAAGTTTGTAATTTTCTAGGCTGACATAATAAAATACTGTGTTGGAAGGAAGTCATTGGGTGACTACTTACCCAGTATTTGCAAAATGTTTGAGTTTCTGTAACATAAAGGCTTTTCTGATCAAAAGACGGTGCAGATTCTGTGATGGTAACATTTCTATTGCTAGAATAGGACTCCTGGTTAAAAAGAAGCAGGGATGTTTTGTTATCAGTGGTTATTTTATGGGTAATGGTAAAGAATCATTATTTTAATTTTGTATGAACATTATGAAAGCAGTGAAAGTGTAATAAAAATATACCTCATAGGCACATTTGATTTTTGAAAATTAGGACGTGACCATTACTAATGATGGTGCGACCATTCTGAAACTGCTAGAAGTGGAACATCCTGCTGCAAAAGTCCTTTGTGAGCTGGCAGACCTGCAGGACAAAGAAGTTGGTGATGGGACCACCTCAGTGGTATGTAGCAAGTTTTACTTGCAGATATATCAAAAGTCAGTGTTTATAGTTGGTATTTTCCATAGATGCTAGTTTCCATATGAAAAGTGGTACTCTGGAAGGGAATTGGCTCACCTCTGTTTCATTATTGATATTTCCTATCTTGAAGGGTGGTCATAGAGGCTGAATTTAGGTTTTTAATTTTTAACAACTGAAAGACTTGAAGTACAAACAAGGATATTGTGTGTTGAAAACTTGCCTGAGACTTTAGATACCTTGGTGGAGGTTGGAATTAGGTAGCTCTCACTTCATATCATAAACTGGTTTTAGTTCTATGTTGTACAAGGTAGTTATTTTGCTTATGTGGAATGCACATATTTAGTGTTTGTATTTCAAACAGGTAATTATTGCTGCAGAACTTCTCAAAAATGCAGATGAGCTGGTGAAACAGAAAATTCATCCTACCTCCATTATTGGTGGATACAGACTTGCCTGCAAGTAAGAAACTGATACAGTTGAATTTCAGCATTTTGTGACTGCATTAATACAGATCTTTTGGTGCCAAGCCGAATATGGTGTTTTTTTGCAGGGGTTCTGGGATTTTGGTTGGTTTGGGTTGGATTTTCTCGTGGGTTTTCTATTTTTAAAATTGCATTTGTGTAATCATGTAAAGGAATGACAGCCACGTTACTGTCCTTGGAGAGCAATTGATTTTACCCCTTTGTTCTTTGAGGTAACATTTAGAAGAGCTGAAATCATGTTACTTTTTCTCTCTGTGGGGGTGGTTCTTTACCAGTGTATTTGTCTTTATTTTACAGGGAAGCTGTTCGATACATCAATGAAAATCTTGTTATTAACACAGATGAGTTGGGCAGGGAGTGCCTGATTAATGCTGCTAAAACATCAATGTCCTCGAAAATTATAGGAGTGTATCCTTTAAATTGATCAAGTGAGTGAAGTGAGAATGGATGATTAGAGAGCTTCAGTAGCTAGGCTGTAATATCCGTGGCAGCAGTTTTTATGAACGCAACACAGTATTGAAGCTGTTGTGTTTATAACAGGCATTTTACAGGTATTGTGACCTGGCATGGGAAAGCATGTTCAAACTTTTCCCAATTTATTTAAACCTGGGTTGGCACTTCATGATAGCTTTTAAAAGGGTATTGTTTCCTAACAATTGCTTTGCTTGTTAGGGAGACTAGATAAAGAGTTGTATGAAGAGAAGAATGTGTTGCAGAAGTATCTGCGAGTGAGTCAGAGGAAAGAAAGTGGAATTTTACTACATGGGCATGGGAAAAACCTTCATTTTTAGCTTTTGTGCAGACTGACCATAGGATACATATTTTTCTTTAGCAACAAAAGGTACATAAAATGCAGGTTTCATACTAGTCTGTCATAATTTCCTACTAGTGTTTCAGCTTTTAGAATAACTCTTCTTTTAAGACAGTGGTAAGGAGAGCTAGTACGTACATGCCTTTCTGAAGCTCTTTTTTGGAAACTTAGTTTGGGCACTGTCAGTTATTTCTGTTCATGGTTTGTTTTGGGTTTTTTTTTTTCCCTTAAGCATAATACTAGTTTCCTTCTTCAGTTTAAACCTTAACAAACAGCCTTTCAGTGATGGTGATTTCTTTGCTAACATGGTGGTTGATGCTGCGCTGGCAGTTAAATACACAGACCAGAAGGGTCAGGCTCGGTACCCCATCAACTCGGTTAATGTTCTGAAGGCCCACGGCCGCAGCCAGAAAGAGAGCATGCTTGTGAACGGTTACGCTCTGAACTGCGTGGTGGGCTCTCAGGGTAAGAACAGGCTGTGTTTCAGAAACCTTTTGTGTCAGCCCAGTCCTCTTCATCTTTCTGTGTCACTCTGCTTACTGGCTGTGTTCCTTGCAAGTCACGTGGGTTTTCAGTTCCAGAAAAATTAAACGAACACAAAATACTACATTTCACCAGTGTTTCTTAGACTAGAGCCTGCCAGCTCCTCCACAAAGTGTTGGTGAGTTGCTGTAGTTTCCCTAGATCAGTGTCAGCAAAGTAGCATTGTGGGCTTGTGGTACTTAAATGCTTCCCTTGTGGGGAACCACTGCCAAGTTTGTGGGGAACTGTTCGATTTAATAGAACTGTGCTGTGTTTAGGTGACTTAGAGGATATGAGGCCAATAGGTCAGATTATCATGGTCATTCACATTTTGGGGAAAGGGTATGTAAAAAGGTAACACACTAAAGTCTCGATTGGCATTTTTCTGCAGTAGGGCAGAACTGAAGATGTAGAAGCAAACAGTACAAATCTGAAAGGTGAAAGTAACATTAGTTTTAATCTCTAATGCTGACTTGATGTTCTGTTCAATCAGTTTGATGAAATCCTTCTTGCTTATTTTTCTTAACAGGTATGACCAAGAGAATAGTTAATGCAAAGATTGCATGCCTTGACTTCAGCCTGCAGAAAGCAAAAATGAAGCTTGGTGTTCAGGTTGTTATCTCAGACCCTGAGAAGCTGGACCAGATAAGGCAGAGGTGTGTGGAAGATTGAATAACTGAGGCAGTGGGGGTTTCACAGGCTTGATTTGGTCTCTTCAGTTGAGGTGCCTCAGTGTAATTTTGGCTGAGTGCAAGAGGTAAAAAACATTTTGAATGTTAACATTTCCCACCAATACCAAATAGTAATGGAAGAAGCCTTCACTTTTGGAAACAGAACTAGTATTAAGTCAGTTTTCAAGAAATGCAAGTATGTTTTTGCAGTAGTCCATTCTTGCAGAGCTCTGCATTAAAGTTTCAGGAAGTTGGCTGACAAGATGTGATGGTATATTTTTTAATACCTTTTTATAACTTTGACGTTAATCTTGCAGAGAGTCAGATATCACCAAAGAAAGAATCCAGAAGATTCTGGCCACTGGTGCCAATGTTATTCTCACCACTGGAGGTATTGATGATATGTGTCTGAAATACTTTGTTGATGCTGGAGCCATGGCAGTACGAAGAGTCATAAAAAAGGACCTTAAGCGGATTGCTAAGGCATCAGGAGGTATGTCTGTATAAGAATAACTGGTTTATAAATGTATTCTTAAAAGTAGAAGCTGTTGTTAAGGTATTTGTTAATTCATTTTTAAAATTCAACTTCCTAACATTCAAAGCCAGGGTGAGTAAAGCTGAGCCACTTCTTTTTGGCTTTACTGTTGCTTTTAGGTAACCTTTGTCAAAGTAGTAGTATTGTAAGACTTGATTGTTGAAGATTTACCGTGGGAGGAGAAGAAGCTGCCTTGAACTGTGAAGACTGGCCTTTTGTGGAAATAGGAGCCATAATCTGTCTTTATTTAGAAATCTTTATTATGCGTGCATTCATAAGCCTCTGTTTAGACAGTTAAGTACATTGTTTAGATAGTTCAAGACGAATAAAGAACTCCTAAATCACTAAATCATACTTTTAAAAAAATCTGGCCCTGTACATATTTTTATATGACAGTTTTTAAATTTGGAAGAAAATATTTTCATTGTGGTAAAGCATAGGAACTTGGCT